GCATGGAGCACCTTGGGATTAGTGAAAGAATTGTAGTTTCCTAAATGGTGGCTAGGTGGTGCAGTGGATAGATTGCTGTACCTGTAGTCAGACAGACTCCTGAGTTCGAATCTGGCCTTCAGACACTAGCTGTGTGACCTTGGGCAAGTCACCTAACCCTGTTTGCCTCAGTTTCCTCATCTGTCAAATGAGCTGGAGAAGGAAATGGCAAACCACTTCAGTATCTCTGCCCAAAAAACCCCAAATGGGGTCTTGAAGAGTCAGACATGACTGAAAAATGACTGAAAAACTTTATTCACTCCTATTTCCTATTTCCTATTCCTATTCATTGTCTGTGCATGCACGCACCACACACACACATACACACACATTTGCATAAGATTCAATTGTCTTTCCATCCAACCATTTGTCATAGTCTGGGCAATAGGCATTCTTCATCCACTTGGTTTTTTCTCTGTGGAGTGCTAAGGCTGCTCTCTTTTGAGTGATTCTGAATCTTTCTGAGGAGGTTGTGGAGTGGTCTGGCACTTGATGCAATCACTCTAATGTCATCTGCAACCAGGAGTATTTGGAGAACTCCACCACTTCTAGGGAATTAATCTTTTATTTGGACGACTTACAAGGAGGCATCCCCCTTGACATCAATGAATATCTTTGACGAGCAAGCGTCTATCTGGCTATTTTATTCTTCACTTGATGTTGGCAAAAGATTGTTGTTGGATGACTTATTGTTGAGTAAGGTTATCTCTATGGTTGCACTATCATGAATCAATTATAATCATATGCATGGGAGCCTTCATTGGAGGAGAGTCCCTAAGGCTGTGTTTTGCTCCACTGAGTCGAATGTTTTTTGTAATCATCACACAATCAACACAAGAGGCTCTTGCATGCTGTCTTCTTATCAGCTGTGTTACTACAAAGACGTGCTCTGCTATGGACAATCATCTATGAAAGCCTGACTGTTTCCCTCTTGTGCTTTCACCCGAGGATACCCTCAGTCCATGCGTGGATCATTTTCATAAAGATACTCTAGCGATGGCAAAATACTCATTGGGATGGTAGTTGCTGATGTCTTCTCAGTGACCCTTTTTTAAAAATGAAAACTGAGGTCTGTAGTCTTTTCTATCCCTTTAGAATCTTCCCTTCTTTGAACTTTTTTTTTTTTTTTTTGCTTTTCCCTTAGGGTCTTGATAATTTTTTTTAATTAATTAATTTGTTTTTAGTTTTCAACATTCACTTCCATAAGTTTTTGAGTTTTAAATTTTCTCTACCTCTGTCCCCTCCCCACTCCCCAAGATGGCATGCAATCTGATATAGGCTCTACATACACATTCTTATAAAACGTATTTTCCATTAGTCATGTTGTAAAGAAGAATTAGAACCAGTAGGAGGAACCACAAGAAAGAAGAAACAAAACAAAATAAAAAAGAGAGAACAAATAGTATGCTTTGATCTGCATTCACACTCCACAGTTCTTTCTCCGGATGTGGATAGCATTTTCCATCATGAGTCTTTTAGAGTTGTTTTAGATCCTTGTATTGCTGAGAAGAGTTAAGTCTTTCAAAGTTAGTTATTGCACAATGTGGCTGTTACTGTGTACAATGTTCTCCTGGTTCTGCTCACTTCACTCAGC